TCCTTCCGCCTCAGCCTTCCGTGTAGCCGGAATTACAGGCGTGTGCTACCACGCCCGGCTGATTTTTTGATTTATTGTGAGATGAGGTCTCGCTGCCCAGGTGGGTCTCGAACCTGTGGGCTCAGGCAAATCACTCACTTCGGCCTCCCAAAGTGCTGGGATTACAGGCTGAGCCACCGAACCCAACCCTAAAAGACTTTTAATTGATGAAGTTGAAAAAGATCCGAGGTGGGTTCTTGTGAGTCCCTCGGGTGAGGCTGAGTTGCGAATAACTCGAGGTGGGTCAGCAGGGTCCCATCCTAATGCCGTCTTCTCTCTCCGTTCGAAGTTAAATGAACTGGTGGTGGGAGACACCAGCGGGAAGCTGTCTGTGTATAAGAATGATGACAGCCGGCCATGGCTCACCTGTTCCTGCCAGGGAATGGTCAGTATTTGTCTCCCTGGGCCTGGAAGGGGGAGGGATCCCTTCTGTCCAAGGACTGCCCAGGGTGAGCCCTGCACAGGAGCTCACCATTGTGTCCTGACTCCGTAGCTACTCAGCCTGGCCACTACTTTCCGGCTAATTCGAGGCAGGGAGGGCCGCCCCGGGCAGTGCCCCGTTCTGCCGCCCCCACAACCCACAGAAGGCTGGGATGCTTTCGTCACGGAGTGCCCCTTGGTCCTTCTTATCTTTATTTTAGTTTTTCTTTTTTTTCAGTCAGTAGACTGGGTGGAAAAACTCCTTGGTACTTTATGGAAGTTGCCTGAGATTGTCTGATCTTCGATAAAGTATGGTCAAACATGGGGACAGTCATTTGAATGAGTCTAGATTTATGATGGATACACTACATATGTTTTTTTTCCTATATTTCTGAGAATCATACCCTGCTTTTATTTATTTATTTCTTTGAGTTGGAGTCTCACTCTGTCACCCAGACTGGAGTGCAGTGGCCGCTCCTGGCCACCGCAGCCTTGACCTGCTGGGCTCTGGCCTTCCGCCTCAGCCTTCCAAGTAACTGGAATTACAGGCACGCGCTACCATGCCCGGCTGATTTTTTGATTTATTGTAGAGATGAGGTCTCGCCCGGTTGCCCAGGCGGGTCTCGAACCCGCGGGCTCAGGCAGTCCACTCACCTCAGCCTCCCAAAGCGCGGGATTACAGGCTAAGCCACCGAGCCCAGCTTGCTTTTATTTTTACTACTTATTTTTATTATTATTATTATTATTTTTGAGTTGGAGTCTCACTCTGTCGCCCTGACCGGAGTGCAGTGGTATGCTCCCGGCCACCGCAGCCTTGACCTGCTGGGCTCTGGCAATCCTTCTGCCTCAGCTTTCCAAGTAACTGGAACTACAGGCGTGTACTACTATGCCCGGCTCATTTTTGATTTATTGTAGAGACGAGGTCTCGCCAAGTTACCCGGCTAGGTTTCGAACCCATGGACTCAGGTAATCCACTCGCCTTGGCCCCCCAAAGTCCTGGGATTACAGGCATGTGCCACCGCACAAGGCCTCTTTCTCTTTTTTTAATTTTTTTTAAGTTGGAGTCTCACTCCGTCGTCCAGACTGGAGGGCAGTGACCGCTCCCGACCATTGCAGCCTTGACCTGCTGGGCTCAAGTGATCATTCCACCTCAGCCTTCCAAAGAGCTGGAACGACAGGTGGACACTACCACACCCGGCTAATTTTTTATTTATTGTAGAGACAAGGTCTCGCCAAGTTGCCCAGGTGGGTGTTGAACCCGCGGGCTCAGGCAGTTCACTTGGCTCAGCCTCCCAATGTGCTAGGATGACAGGCTGAGCCACCGAGCCCGGCCTTTTTTTCCATTTTTAATTTCTTTTCAGGGGCCCACATGTGTGTTTGCTACATGGACATACAATTTAGTGGTAGGGATTGTGTCTCCGGTGGCCCATTCCCCAGATAACGAACATTGTAACTTCTGAACCTAACTCTCCTCCCCAGGGGTTTTTGTTTTGTTTGTAGGCCAAATTGTCTTAACTGCCTCAGGACTTCATATTGCTATCTGGGTAATCCAAACCTACAGCACAGTAACTCAATGCAGGCTGTCCATGTAGGTCATACATAGGGCACGAGTGTTCAGCAAATGGCCGTCATCTCAAAGCCTCCTTTTTGCTTCGCAGAAATCAGGGGGTGCTGGTATCTCTCGGCGTCTCCCTGAGTCTGCCTGTCTCTCTTGCAGCTGACTTGCGTTGGGGTTGGAGACGTCTGTAATAAGGGAAAGGTAAGAACTCTGGGACCTCGGGACTTGGGTAGAACTCCACAGCCCCACCTCAGTTCCTGGCTCACGGTGGAAATCAATGGAGGGCAGAAGGCTTCAGCCTTGACCTCTGCGACCGGCTGATCCCTGCCCCCGCTCCGGGTCCATCTCTCCTCCCCTCCGTCTCTCCCAGAACCTGCTGGTGGCAGTGAGTGCTGAAGGCTGGTTTCATCTGTTTGACCTGACACCGGCCAAAGTCCTGGATGCCTCGGGGCATCACGAGACGCTCATGGGAGAAGAGCAGCGTCCAGTCTTCAAGCAGCAGCAGCACGTCCCGGCCAACACCAAGGTCATGCTGATCAGTGACATCGGTGGGCATGGCTGCCTTTGCGACAGCAGGGGAGCAGGCGTCAGTGGGTACCAGAGCAGATCCCGAGGGAATGGGGCGAGAGGGCGAGTGCGTTCCTTTTTTGGGGGGGTAGGAGTCTCACTCTGTCACCCAGGCTGGAGTGCATTGGCACCCTCACGGCCACTGCGGTCTTGACCTGCTCGGTTCAGGCGATCCTTTTGCCTTGGCCTTCCAAGTAGCTGGAACTATAGGCGCATGCCACCATGCCCCAGCTAGTTTTTGATTTATTGTAGAGACAAGGTCTTGCCAAGTTGCCCAGGTGGGTCTCGAACCCCTGGGCTCAGGCAGTCCTCTCGCCTTGTCCTCCTAAAGTACTGAGATTACAGACGTGAGCCACCATGCCCAGCTTTATATTTCCATTTGTTGCGTGTTTGACATAGAGTTCCTGAGCTCCTGTTGCTTTAGGTACTGGGATTGTCATAGTGAATAAAACAGACCCAAATCACTGTTCTCTTAGACCTTACTAGAAAGAGCTAAGAAAGAAACAATATGGGCCAAGCATGGTGGCTCACACCTCACTTTGGGAGGCTGAGGCAGGAGGATCACTTGAGCCCAGGAGTTTGAGGCTGCAGTGAGCCATGATCATACTTCTGCACTCTTGCCTAGGTAGCAGAGTGAGACCCTGTCTATATAAAGAAAAAAGAAGCAATATGAATTTTGAAAGAGCCCAGCGTGGTGGCTTACGCCTGTAATCCCAGCACTTTGGGAGGCTGAGGCAAGAGGATTGCTTGAGCCCAGGAGTTCGAGTCCAGCCTAGGCAACATAGCAAGACCTCGTCTAGCCGAAATACAAATAAGTAAATAAGCCGGGCATTATGGTGCACACCTATAGCCCCAGCTGCTCGGGAGGCCAAGGTGGAGGGATTACTCCAGCCCAGGAGGTGAGCTGTGATCGTGCCACTCCCCTCCAACCTGGTAAGAAATTTGGTGAGAAAATTAAATAATGTATTAGGAGGTAGTACAAGGAGTGGAGAAAACGCATCACAGAAAGAACTGGCGAGTGTGGAGGGTGGGTGGTGATTTCAAGTGGACTTGTCAAGGAAGTCCTCACCGAGAAGGTGACAGCAGGTTAAGAAAAAAACTGGCCGGGCTCGGTGGCTCAGCCTGTAATCCTGCGCTTTGGGAGGCTGAGGTGAGTGG